ATATATATATATATATATATATATATACATACATACATATACAGATATATATACACATCTTTAATAATTCTTTAATAATTTAGGTTTACACAAGCATTTGGCGGTCAGTTAAAGTTTTTTTTTTTTATATATATTTTTTATTTAGCAGTCATGTAACGTGAATGCAATGACAACTCAATAATATTACTGACTGTAAACTGCTGAGTGTATTTGAGGATATCTCACTAAATGTCCACTCTAGACCGCATTAAAAACACACACATTAACTGCGAATAGCACACTAGCATAAAAACTCTTTACTGTATCTAGAGCAGTGTTTCCCAGCCTTTTTTTAGTCTCGGCACCCTTTGGAAATTTTAGCAAACTTGTGGCACCCTACAAAATTAATTTAGTCACAATATTTGAATTTCTAACTTTGATATGATCATTTGAAAAGTATAGATATTCGGTACAACAGGGAAGAACTGCAGAATATAATGTCATACAGATATTTTCATATTATTAAAAGAATAATTTTAATAATATTAGTAGGCTAATTTCTAATGAAGAGACCAATTTATATGACAGATTTTAATGTAGACTTTTATACATATGTAAACATTATTTAATTACCATTATAACTAGCTATCTCACAAATCTTTGCTCACTCAGTGTTTTTTTTATTTTACAGTGGGGTAATTTTGGTGCAGTAGCACAAGATAGCTTGATTTCAAACTTTGAATTGAATAAAAAATGACAAGTAAGCAGTCAGTAATAAAATAAGAACAAATAAAGAAATGAATAATGATAGCACAAATAAAAAATAACGCGGCACCCCGGTTGGGAAACACTGGTCTAGAGCACATACTGTATAAAAACAGATCTAGAGCAGAATTCAATCACTTTTTGTGGATTGATCCGCTAGGTGGCGGTAAGCACATCTTTGAAGGACGAAATCCAAAACGAACCACAGAAAGACGGAAGAGAGCGTCGTATTATCGCTTGTATTTATGAGTAAATAATACGCGTTTAATTCGATCAAACATGAATCAGGAGCAGTATCCGCGATCATCCATTGAGGATGATTTTAATTATGGCACGAACGTCGCGACGGCGAGCGTCCACATCCGGATGGGTAAGTCGCGATTTACATGTATTTCAAAGGCTTTGGTGTCTACGTAATCGGTAATACAGTCCATACAATAGCATTGCCTAGAAATCAATAACATGTACAACAGCTGGAGTGGGATCCTTATTTCATTTCAGTTATTTATTTCACCTTGTTTCATCATGAGGTCCAGTTAAAAAGGAGACATATGGCGCAAATGTTAAATCAGCTGTCGTGACAGGCTACTTGTAGATTTTTTCCCCCTCAAATGTGATTATTAGTTTTCTTAGAAATGCTGCATGTTTCTTATGTAGTTGTCAAACCTGCTTGTCGACGTTTAGTGTGAATGTAAAGAAACCCTGTGAAGAGAGACAAGTCATGAAATATATTTAAATAATTTGTATATTATATATAATTTATTATTTTTAATGTAACTATTTATTTACTATGTATGTGTATTTTATATATAATAGTTACTAATATATATATATATATATATATTTTTTTTTTAAGTATATGTATGGTTGAAGTGTTGACGCTCAAGTCTTATTTCTCTCTAGATTTCCTCCGCAAGGTCTACACCATCCTGTCATTGCAGATTATAGTCACCACTGCTGTATCTGCTCTTTTCATGCTCTGTAACCCCATTAAAAACTTTGTGCACGAAAGGTAAGAGCACATCCTCCCCTGTACGTTCACCACATCATTGTGGCTGTTCTATTGTACGAACTGCCCTTTAATCTATGTCAATATATTAATGTGATGCACTACATTAATTTTTCAGTCCCTCTCTGGTGTTGATATCTGCTATCGGTTCCCTTATCCTGCTCCTTGCCTTGGCTGTGTACCGTCACCAGCACCCCATTAATCTTTATTTGCTGTTTGGGTTTGTGAGTATACCACTTTTTTTTTCTTTAAATAGACTATTAAATATTATTATTATGAACTACTGTAATATAATGACTGTAAATGTTTATGCAGACTTTGCTGGAGTCTCTGTCTGTAGCCACTGCGGGTAAGTTTATTCATTTTCTTAATTTTTAGAAGTCCAGTCCCGTAATATTAATGGATACATCCTTGATGGCTCATCTGATACCATATATTTCTGCTTTCAGTGACATTTTATGAGTACACCATAGTGCTCCAGGCCTTTGTGCTCACGTCTGCCGTGTTCCTGGGTCTCACTGCCTACACTTTCCAGTCTAAAAGAGACTTCAGCAAGCTCGGAGCCAGGTAATTCTCTTTCTCATCCGCTCAAGGCCCAGATCTGTCACATTCATCACAGTAACTGAGTGCAAGAATTATTGTTTTAATCCATTTACTCCTGAATCCGTGCGGAATGATGTTCTTGTGTTGTGGCAGAAATTGTCTCTGGAGAAACATTCTTCTTTCCAGTCATTAAAATGAAATGTAACAAAAAATTGTGGGGTTCCGTGAGTCATAACTCTATTATATGATGCATTGTCCACTCCTCAGCATGGGAAGTCGCTGGGAGGAAAAATGCGTGTCTTTGTGAGGAGGACTGAAGAATTTCTTTATTCATATTATTGGTCTGTTTAATAGACAACCTGCTGCAACAGTTCTTGCGCTGTCGTTTATATGTATATTTGTTTTTTTAATAATGCACATGTAGAAAAATCCCAATTGGTCATCTTTGTCTTTAGTCTGTTTGCTGGCCTGTGGATCTTGATCATTGCAAGCTTTATGAGGGTGAGTCTAAGGCTAAATTAATCAGAATGCTCTGGGTTCAATACAAGTTCAAATATTATGTTGGTTTAAGTAATGGTTCCAATGCAAGTTTTGTTTTATATTATTTAATAAATAACATACATTATTTATGCTTTATATATATATATATGTATGTATTTTTATTTAGTAGTATCCAACAGTATTTATCAAATCGATTGAGCTGAATTTGTATTGAACCTATAACATTCTTTTAAGAGTCATGCAGTCAAGTCACTTTATTTGATTTCAAGCCACATTTCATCGACTGCACAATTCTGTCCTTCAGCTTTTCTTCTACAATGACACAATGGAGTTGGTCTTCGCTGGGGCTGGAGCTCTGCTGTTCTGCGGGTTCATTATTTTCGATACCCACCTGCTGATGCATAAGCTGTCACCGGAGGAGCACGTCCTGGCATCCATCAACCTGTACCTGGACATAGTCAACCTGTTCATCTATATCCTGCGCATCCTCGACTCCATGAAGAAACACTGAATGTTGTGATGCTCTTCTTCACTTTCAGAGGTGAATTTTGGGTGCAGTGGTACAAAAATAATATTCTTTAATTTAATAGACTCCATGTACAATAATCAAATAAAAATGTGTTAACTAATATCCAAATTAAGCATCGCAGATCTCTGCAAAAACGTTGTGGACCACATAATATGAAATATTTATTTGAATAAAAGCCTTCAAAATGCACTGAATATAAGACATTAATTTATTTGCATTGCAGTTTTTTGCAGTGTTCAGAATTAATGGAGTATGAGTGCTATTCTTCTAATTGGGTGGGCATTAACAGCAAACTCCTTGGATTTTGTTTAATTTCTTCCATTAGTTGAGATGAAGCTCCCCAAGACACTCCTATTGTATTGTAGTTTCCCCTTGTTTCCAAACCAGCTGCATAATTTCAACTTGCAAAATGGTATTTGTGGCTGGAGCTCTGCTGTTCTGCGGGTTCATTATTTTCGATACCCACCTGCTGATGCATAAGCTGTCACCGGAGGAGCACGTCCTGGCATCCATCAACCTGTACCTGGACATAGTCAACCTGTTCATCTATATCCTGCGCATCCTCGACTCCATGAAGAAACACTGAATGTTGTGATGCTCTTCTTCACTTTCAGAGGTGAATTTTGGGTGCAGTGGTACAAAAATAATATTCTTTAATTTAATAGACTCCATGTACAATAATCAAATAAAAATGTGTTAACTAATATCCAAATTAAGCATCGCAGATAAACTTTGCAAAAACTTTGTGGACCACATAATATGAAATATTTATTTGAATAAAAGCCTTCAAAATGCACTGAATATAAGACATTAATTTATTTGCATTGCAGTTTTTTGCAGTGTTCAGAATTAATGGAGTATGAGTGCTATTCTTCTAATTGGGTGGGCATTAACCGCAAACTCCTTGGATTTTGTTTAATTTCTTCCATTAGTTGAGATGAAGCTCCCCAAGACACTCCTATTGTATTGTAGTTTCCCCTTGTTTCCAAACCAGCTGCATAATTTCAACTTGCAAAATGGTATTTGTAATTTAATGGCCAAATGTGAATGTTACAAACATGATTGTACAACTTAACTTGATCTGCTAACTGTGTTGCTGATTAGATTCCTGTTTTTAGTTGACTGTAGTGTGACCTGTAATCCATGGCGATTTTTCATATTTATTTAGGTGTTGTAGTGAATCAGTGTTTGTGGTTTGAGAACGAACTGTACATGAAGCCCGAGACATTTTGTTTAATTTGGGTTTGTATATGGGATGTTAATGATTAACGTAAAATAACTTATAACTAGACAGTCTTACTAAAAGGCCTGAATTACATGAAAACCATAATGCAAACATTTTAAAATGAATATAACGATATAACATTCACTAAATAAACATAATTTTAAAGTATGCAGCATTCAGTCAGTTTCAAATGCATTAAAAATATTTTCCAATAGGCCAGTCTGCTCATTTTAATAAACTAAAAAAAAAGTACAAAATAATTGTTAACATAATATTCAGGGACCTCTATATGCCTGTGTCCAAAGTGCAATATTCATAATAATAAAAAAAGTACTTCTCATAAAATATAAATCTATTTCTCTCATTGATTTTTAAGGGCAACATGTTCACATATAAAAACTGAGATGTCAATTGAATGTTCTTTGGTGTAAAAAAAAATCGAAATAAATGAATTTGAACCCATATTTGTTGCTTTCATGTACAACAGTTAGTTGCTATCCTCGAATCTGATTGGTCGAGGAAATATAACAAAGTGCTGATGCCCTGTCATTGCATAAAAGAACGCAGAAATATATATATTTTAAAAAATGGGTTACTTTTTTCACAAGTTCGAAGTGAAAGCTTCTGCATACTTTGAACATTATATCATAAATGAGTGAAATGGGTCAGTTTGAACCATTTACTGATCTCTTGGCAGATAAAATCTGAACGTCTCTCAGTAGATCAGGTTCAAGTCTGAGGTCCTTTCTCAAACCCTCGGGGATTTCCAGCTTGCAGATGTCTTCTTTTCTCACCATACTCCTGATCAAACGTGTACAGTATTCTTGTAATGAGTACACTGACAAAAAAAAAAAAAGCATAAATATCAATTTAAAATGAAACTTTTGTGTATATCAAATGCATATGGAGCATCTTAGGATGAAGAATGGGCTCGCACCTGGTGCAGTCACATTCACAGGCAGGTACCGCGGGTATCCGTACTCCTCATACTGCGCAGGAGTGGGAAAGTAAACTTCACTGAGGTTAGCCAGCAGTTTAGATCCGTCAGATGCTCTGAAGATCCACGGATGAGCTGGAAAAAACTGCTTTAGTACAAACCGGCGAGGGAAACTGGCTACGTTTGCTAGCTCTGCGGTAACTTACTCAGAAAAGTGTTCATCTTGAGCGATTTCCTCGGTTGTATGGCGCCGTAAGACACCGGCTTCCCCGCGAAGTCTAGCCACCATGCTTCGGCATTCCGCCTGGATTTATTAATAAAAGAGATATATGTTGGATCATACGAGTTGAGAGATTTCAAAGGTGCAGGCGCTTCCTGTTCAGCCATAGCGCTGGAGTGACCGAACACATATGCAGTGTCGCTTCATGACTGATAGGTGGCAGTATTACACTCTAAACCGCCATACACTGACTGACTGAAGTGATTTTTAGCCTGGACAACCCCAAGACACCCAAGTTGAATGACTTTAATAGCTAAGAACAACATTGTGTAACTCTTAACAGTTCATTAGTTCAAAGTTAGACATTAGTTAACAGATGTAACCCAAATGTAGATTTTATATTTAGGTTTTATATTTTTTCTTTAATAAAATGTTGATAAAAGCAATATTAGTTGCAAGAAGATTTAATTTATTATTATTATTATTCACCATAGTTTGTTGACGCATATAGGTTATATATTGATTTGTTGTAACAAAACCAATCCTGGATTGGCAATCCAATTAGTGTTTATACAGTAGTCAACATTTGAAGTGGATCATAAAAGTGCATCAAAGTTGTCCTAAGACAAGAATGGGTATTGTTTTGGTTTTAGGACAACTTTGATGAAAGGTTTTGATTCACTTCAAATGTTGACTACTGTGTGTGTGTGTGTGTGTGTGTGTACCTGGTATTTATCACGTTATGGGAAAAGGAAGTAACTAAGTGTGTGTGTGTGTGTGTGTGTGTGTGTGTGTGTATGACCTTGTGGGGACATTTTTGAGGTCCCCATGAGGAAACAAGCTTATAAATCATACAGAATGAGTTTTTTTGAGAAAGTAAAAATGCAGAAAGTTTCCTGTAAGGGGTAGGTTTAGGGGTAGGGTTGGTGTAGGGCAATAGCACATACAGTTTGTACAGTATAAAAACCATTACGCCTATGGAATGTCCCCATAAAACATGGAAACACAACGTGTGTGTGTGTGTAATATAGTGTTGCTGTCCGTGGTGCTGAACACCATCTGAACACTAGAGGGAGCCGCTGGACTCTCATTCCTCAACACTTTCATTTATATATATATGTATGTATTTTTATTTAGTAGTATCCAACAGTATTTATCAAATCGATTGAGCTGAATTTGTATTGAACCTATAACATTCTTTTAAGAGTCATGCAGTCAAGTCACTTTATTTGATTTCAAGCCACATTTCATCGACTGCACAATTCTGTCCTTCAGCTTTTCTTCTACAATGACACAATGGAGTTGGTCTTCGCTGGGGCTGGAGCTCTGCTGTTCTGCGGGTTCATTATTTTCGATACCCACCTGCTGATGCATAAGCTGTCACCGGAGGAGCACGTCCTGGCATCCATCAACCTGTACCTGGACATAGTCAACCTGTTCATCTATATCCTGCGCATCCTCGACTCCATGAAGAAACACTGAATGTTGTGATGCTCTTCTTCACTTTCAGAGGTGAATTTTGGGTGCAGTGGTACAAAAATAATATTCTTTAATTTAATAGACTCCATGTACAATAATCAAATAAAAATGTGTTAACTAATATCCAAATTAAGCATCGCAGATAAACTTTGCAAAAACTTTGTGGACCACATAATATGAAATATTTATTTGAATAAAAGCCTTCAAAATGCACTGAATATAAGACATTAATTTATTTGCATTGCAGTTTTTTGCAGTGTTCAGAATTAATGGAGTATGAGTGCTATTCTTCTAATTGGGTGGGCATTAACCGCAAACTCCTTGGATTTTGTTTAATTTCTTCCATTAGTTGAGATGAAGCTCCCCAAGACACTCCTATTGTATTGTAGTTTCCCCTTGTTTCCAAACCAGCTGCATAATTTCAACTTGCAAAATGGTATTTGTAATTTAATGGCCAAATGTGAATGTTACAAACATGATTGTACAACTTAACTTGATCTGCTAACTGTGTTGCTGATTAGATTCCTGTTTTTAGTTGACTGTAGTGTGACCTGTAATCCATGGCGATTTTTCATATTTATTTAGGTGTTGTAGTGAATCAGTGTTTGTGGTTTGAGAACGAACTGTACATGAAGCCCGAGACATTTTGTTTAATTTGGGTTTGTATATGGGATGTTAATGATTAACGTAAAATAACTTATAACTAGACAGTCTTACTAAAAGGCCTGAATTACATGAAAACCATAATGCAAACATTTTAAAATGAATATAACGATATAACATTCACTAAATAAACATAATTTTAAAGTATGCAGCATTCAGTCAGTTTCAAATGCATTAAAAATATTTTCCAATAGGCCAGTCTGCTCATTTTAATAAACTAAAAAAAAAGTACAAAATAATTGTTAACATAATATTCAGGGACCTCTATATGCCTGTGTCCAAAGTGCAATATTCATAATAATAAAAAAAGTACTTCTCATAAAATATAAATCTATTTCTCTCATTGATTTTTAAGGGCAACATGTTCACATATAAAAACTGAGATGTCAATTGAATGTTCTTTGGTGTAAAAAAAAATCGAAATAAATGAATTTGAACCCATATTTGTTGCTTTCATGTACAACAGTTAGTTGCTATCCTCGAATCTGATTGGTCGAGGAAATATAACAAAGTGCTGATGCCCTGTCATTGCATAAAAGAACGCAGAAATATATATATTTTAAAAAATGGGTTACTTTTTTCACAAGTTCGAAGTGAAAGCTTCTGCATACTTTGAACATTATATCATAAATGAGTGAAATGGGTCAGTTTGAACCATTTACTGATCTCTTGGCAGATAAAATCTGAACGTCTCTCAGTAGATCAGGTTCAAGTCTGAGGTCCTTTCTCAAACCCTCGGGGATTTCCAGCTTGCCGATGTCTTCTTTTCTCACCATACTCCTGATCAAACGTGTACAGTATTCTTGTAATGAGTACACTGACAAAAAAAAAAAAAAGCATAAATATCAATTTAAAATGAAACTTTTGTGTATATCAAATGCATATGGAGCATCTTAGGATGAAGAATGGGCTCGCACCTGGTGCAGTCACATTCACAGGCAGGTACCGCGGGTATCCGTACTCCTCATACTGCGCAGGAGTGGGAAAGTAAACTTCACTGAGGTTAGCCAGCAGTTTAGATCCGTCAGATGCTCTGAAGATCCACGGATGAGCTGGAAAAAACTGCTTTAGTACAAACCGGCGAGGGAAACTGGCTACGTTTGCTAGCTCTGCGGTAACTTACTCAGAAAAGTGTTCATCTTGAGCGATTTCCTCGGTTGTATGGCGCCGTAAGACACCGGCTTCCCCGCGAAGTCTAGCCACCATGCTTCGGCATTCCGCCTGGATTTATTAATAAAAGAGATATATGTTGGATCATACGAGTTGAGAGATTTCAAAGGTGCAGGCGCTTCCTGTTCAGCCATAGCGCTGGAGTGACCGAACACATATGCAGTGTCGCTTCATGACTGATAGGTGGCAGTATTACACTCTAAACCGCCATACACTGACTGACTGAAGTGATTTTTAGCCTGGACAACCCCAAGACACCCAAGTTGAATGACTTTAATAGCTAAGAACAACATTGTGTAACTCTTAACAGTTCATTAGTTCAAAGTTAGACATTAGTTAACAGATGTAACCCAAATGTAGATTTTATATTTAGGTTTTATATTTTTTCTTTAATAAAATGTTGATAAAAGCAATATTAGTTGCAAGAAGATTTAATTTATTATTATTATTATTCACCATAGTTTGTTGACGCATATAGGTTATATATTGATTTGTTGTAACAAAACCAATCCTGGATTGGCAATCCAATTAGTGTTTATACAGTAGTCAACATTTGAAGTGGATCATAAAAGTGCATCAAAGTTGTCCTAAGACAAGAATGGGTATTGTTTTGGTTTTAGGACAACTTTGATGAAAGGTTTTGATTCACTTCAAATGTTGACTACTGTGTGTGTGTGTGTGTGTGTGTGTACCTGGTATTTATCACGTTATGGGAACCAAATGTCCCCACAAGGATAGTAATACTAGTAAATTTTGACTTTGTGGGGACATTTTTGAGGTCCCCATGAGGAAACAAGCTTATAAATCATACAGAATGAGTTTTTTTGAGAAAGTAAAAATGCAGAAAGTTTCCTGTAAGGGGTAGGTTTAGGGGTAGGGTTGGTGTAGGGCAATAGCACATACAGTTTGTACAGTATAAAAACCATTACGCCTATGGAATGTCCCCATAAAACATGGAAACACAACGTGTGTGTGTGTGTAATATATATATATTTTTTTTTTGTGCGTGTGATGTTGGAAATGAACATTTTGAGTGGTTCAGTGATTTTGGAGATGTTAAAGCAGTGCTCATTTTCGTTTCTTCCCCTCCAATTAAACATGTTAATCTCCTCTGTTGCAGACCATAAGTGGATTTAATTTCTGTATCATATATACGTCTACATAAGAGACTGGTTACTGAAATCCATGAGAGGAGTTCCTTTTTATCTCGGTTTTAGAAGACACATGATTTGCCATCCACACTACTGGATCCCCAACACCCGTTCTGTTCCAAAAGACCCAGGGAGAGATGGGATGGAGAAATCCACTTAAAATTCCAGGGTGGCTGGTTCTTGAAGGATGGGGGCTCTCAGAAATTCTTGCGTGATGACAGCGAGGCTTTGATGTCAGTGTTTTTGTCTCTGGAGAAGCAGGGCAGGGCTGTCTTGAGACAAGAGGGAAAGATCCTATTCTCTAGAGACACTGATTCACTTTACAGCTCAGACTATATACACAATCATATAGGCTGGGAGTTTTAAAGCACACCATCCATGTAAATTTGATCGCTTTTCAAAGTCTTGGTGAAGTGATTTATTTAGTCAAGAGTCTCCTTATGGCACACGTCTAGAAGATGCTTGTTAATGCATTTTCCTACCTCTTTTTTTTTTTTTTTTTTTTTTTTTTATTTCTTTTTAATTTTTATTACCTT